CGAGAGCTACACATACGTTTTTCATTTTCTTTTTTTAATAAATATTTGTATGCAGCTTTTTGAAAAAATATTTTTAACGTAAACGATTAATTTAGATTAAGGTGTAAAATTCAACGGAAAAATCAAAACATAATCACAAATAACTGTGGGTGCTTTACAGATTTATAAATAATCTCATTTACTCAGTTGCATTTACTCTGGCCAAAACTGAAATGTACAGCTGTCCAGTTTAGACAAGGATGATTCACTATTCTTTGACAGGATTACCGTCCAATATCTAAAAATATCAAAGGAAGTAAAATAGAACTTTTCAAAATAATTTTGTAAACAAGGTTCTTTGAAATTAATAAATACAAAAGTTCTTTCTTCTAATGTTGTAGGCTTCTCCTTGAGCATGGTGCAAACCCAAACAAAAGATATTTCTTTGGTGCCGAAATCAACCTCGTCTCTCCTTTGGACACTGAAATACTCCAGCTGTTGCTAATGTATGGAGCAGATCCCAACTCCAGGGACAGAGCTGGACTCACGCCCCTCATGAAAGCAGCAAGACTGCCACAAGTCAGTGTTTTTCAAATCATGAAAATTATGATAAGAAGGTTTTAAGAATTGAACTCAGAAACGTGAATTTGCTTGTTTATTTTTCAGGGAATTGAATCCGTGCTTCTTTTGATATCGTATGGTGCCGATGTGAATGCATTGACTGACGAGCGACATGATTATAGAAGTGTGTTGCACTACGGGGTACTATCTGGGAATATGGCCATTGTCAACCTGCTCCTGAAACAGGGAGCCAAGTTGAACTACCCACCCGAGATAAGCAAACCGACCGTCCTGGACTTGGCGATTCTGAGGGGGGAGCCCGAACTTGTTTCATTGCTCATTTCATCAGGTAAGCTCACTCATGATGATCTAAACTCGAGAAATGTTGTGTGCAAAGTCGTTCTAATCAGAAAATAATATCCGAATCGCAGGAGCGAACGTGAACAGTAGTTCTCCCATCATCGGGACTCCTCTCCACGTGGCCTGCTCCGACGGCATCATCAACCGGAACGAACTCATCACCCTGCTACTCTCAGCTGGCGCGGACCCTAACCTCATCGTTGAGAGCGATGATGGTCCTCCGCTCCGCCCAGTTCTGCCTGAGTTCATTGCAACCAACGAAGATGCCTCAATTCAAGTTGTTAAATTACTCCTCAGGCATGGGGCTAAAGTAAGGATCGCCAAACTATACTGAAAACTTTCAGATAACTTACCGAAACATCTTACTGACGAATTTGATATTATTTCAGGTGATAATGAAAACCCAATACAGGCATCCTCATGGTATCCTCAACTCACTGCAACATATATCTAAAAATCCAAAGGTGTTTGAATGTCTACTGGAAGCAGCTGAAAGTTTCGATCTGTGCATGATAAAAAGAAATCCTTTCTTAACACAGGTAATATATCCTATAAGTATAGATGAAAGTATTTTCACATTTAATCATAATAAATTAATGATGTTAGGGCATAAAATGATAAATCGAGTTCCTTCTGATTCACACTTATTACTAATATTAATTTCGAAAAAATTCCCACTCCTGGAATATACTTTAAAATATAGGCAATTTAAGTAAAGAAAAATAAATTTCACCCCAAATATTATTTTCTGTAATATTTTATACGAAAATATGAATATTACCATATTTTAAACTGTGTTATAACTTTTTTTATTGTATTTTTACCATTTAATTGATAGTGATAGATGATTTGATCAAGCAATTGTGTAAAAAAAAATGTTACATGGTGATTCACTTGTGTTTAACTGATTTTGGATAAAATTCCTTCCACTTCACGGCAGAAAACTTACAACAAATACTGTTAAAAAAATAAAAATTGTAGTTGCTTTGTGGGATATTATGTGTTAATTATTAATATTAATTTCTAAGAAGTCTTTACTCCACTAAACCAAATATTGGTTCATTAGGCATGTTATGATATATCTCATAACAAATTAGTTTTTCTTTGACAAATTAGGAGATTTAAAATACTTATAATTAATTTTCAGGAGCAGAAAACCCTTCTTATAGAAAGAGGAAAGATGCCTTCACCTTTGAAACAGATCTGTCGTTTATTTATCCGAACATGCTTAGGAAAGAATTTTATTGAAAAAATAAAGGAATTACGTGTTCCCGTTACGCTGCACAGCTATCTTTTATACGATTTCTAATGTTACAAGAATCATATTTTTATCAACTGTTCCATTGTATTAGATCTTTATCTATTTAGTGATATTTGATAACAATGACATGATTTTTTTAATCTTTTATTTTTTGATGATGCAATGTTGTGATTTTTTTATAATTGCTATTTTTAGCCCTTTGGGCAAAGTATGATATTTTTTACATGTTTTTAATCTTGTTTAGAATGATGTTGATATTTTTATACTATATGAAACATTTAATTAATAATATATATCATTATTTTACGAAAGATGTTTTATTCCCCAAAGTGGTCAGATTCTTCTTAATTGAAAGGTAACCATCAAATTTAAAACAAATGCCGTATATGTTCAACTCCAGAAAACTTGTGGTATAATATTTCATAAAAATATTTTAACTGATTTATAAAATTAAAGAACATATCTTTACAGCTTGCTATAAGTGTATATACAATATTTTATCATTTAGAAATTTATAATAAATTATTATATATAAATCAATAATTATAAAATTATTGACAACTAATATACATTTACTAAAACGCGATCTCTTTCACCTATGTTAATTTCTCTACACCACAGCCCACATTTAGAACAGTAAAACACCCACTCTCTTGTGTTTATTACAATTTAGCTGTGGTCTTCACTCTTTGACCAATAATCATATTAATATATTCCACAATCTCTAGTAATCTTTTTTTTTTTTTTTTTTTTTTTTTTTTTTTTTTTTTTTTTTTTTTGTTCTTCCCTACCTCGCCTTTTGGCTATACGGGATTTTCCCGGGCCGGGGGGTGAGGGCGGGGAATTTAAAATCCCCTCCGGCACCGGGACGCGAACTCGTACTTTTTATATCATCTCAAATCTCTGTTATCCGGTTGCCAGGCAACTAGCGGTGCTGTTACACACGCTTTAGCCTATTCGGCCACCCCGCCCCCAAAATTCACCTGGCACTTTTTCGACAATGACGAACAACACTTTTACAACTACCTTAGTCCCTTTTTATCTGTTCTATAAACCCCTGAAGACTCCCATCCCATCTCATCAGACCTCTCACATCAGTTTCCTACCTTCTTCTGACAGTACTAAATGAAGGGGTGGCCGAATGGGCTAAAGCGTGTGCACTGCACCGCGAGTTGCCTGGCATCCCGATAAGAGATTTGAGAAGATTAAAAAAGTATGAGTTCGCATCCCGGTGCCGGAGGGGATTTTAAATTTCCCGCCCTCACCCCCGGCCCGGGAACATCCCGTATAGCCTAAAAGGCGAGGTAGGGAAGAACAAAGAAAAAAAAAAAAAAAAGTACTAAATGAAGTGGTATGCTTATCTTTTATTATTAATCTTAATGCAAGGGCATACAAAGCTTTCATATTAGCAGGGAAGGGGCAAGATGGAAAATAATTTTTCAGAAAAGTTTATTATTATTACCATTTATGAATTTGTTTATATGAAATACAACATGTGTTACATATGTGAAATACATGGAGCAAATACCTTTAATATTATATTATGTTTCATTTTCTTTCAAATTATTTAAGAAAGAACAACAGACTTTTCTGCCCTTCCCTGCATACATCCCATGTCTGTTATCAGGGTATGAAGAAATATCTGTTTCGTTCGTAATATGTTGTAAATTATTTTGTCGAAATAAATAAAATCAATAAGTTAAAAATAATTTCTTTTTATTACTTGAGGTGTGATGATATTATGAAGAAAAAACTCCCCATTATGAAACTAGTTGAGCAAAATTTTATTCCCCAGTTAACAGGTTAATGTTCCCACCCTTTAACATGTTATATCCAGGTTATATTCTTCCAATATCCTGATATTCCATTACCACTATTAAAAAAATGTATGTTGATTGCTAATTATATTTTTTACCAACCTAAATCATTAAAACTTATTTTACATTTTAACTTACAAGGATAAATTAATTTTTCATTTCCCATTTATTTTTTAATTTTCATCACAAAGGGGATAATTCATTATTTTTTTATTTTGTCACATTATTCTCATTACTGGCCATTATACAATATGCAATAAATTTTTATTTTATTTTACTTATTTGTTCTAATTCTAAGAGAATAATAAATACATTACAATAATAAAATACAGTATATTACAGTCCATCATATATTTAATACATCGTATTTCTAACAATTTTATGATTCATTTATGTCCAAATTTTTAATGTTAACTTTGCCATCTATATTGCCTTTTATTTTACCAAATAAACATTCATTTCACTTACTATTTGTCAGGTTTCTCCTGTAATAAATCTATAACTGTTATCTGGTAATCTGTACTAATTTAATATCACCTGATATTTTATTTATTTGTAACTTGAAACAATTAACATATTTTGTATCTTGTTCTTTTAATCCTGATGAAGACTTACAGTATCTGTTGAAACATTGACAAGTCTACTATAATATATTGTGTGTGTATATATTGACCAGAGTTCTGACTTAATTCTCATCAATTTAAAATAATTATTATTAAAAAAAATGTATAAAATAATGATTTCATTTGACCTACATAGAATATTTTAAAAATATGACAGTAATCAAGAAAAAATTACAACCTTGCTATGGAACAACACACAGACTGCTGATAATGTTTTCTGCTTTCCTGTAAATCACCAATTGCAAAAAATAAATAATCTTCTTCTCTGGTTATATCTATGGTTTTAATTGGTTGACACACAAAAATATAATAGTAAAGGTTAAGAAAGGGAAGGTAGAGGAGAGGTGTAGTCTGATAGACCCTTAGATAGAACTCAAGGTTTAAAATAAAATCACAAAATAATAAGTGAAACAGAAAATTAATGTCTTTATTTCTTTCATCGCCGAAAATAATTCAGAAATACTGTACCTAATCTTATAACTACCATGAACTTAAAATAAAGATACTAAAAAAATATTTAAAATGAGTTTAGATAATAAAAACAAATTAATATAATACCATTATCAAATACATAGCATAACCAATGACTTTAGGTATTTTATTATATTTATCACTCAGTATATTTATTTTAAGAAATGAAATTATAGCATTTCAGTAATATAACGGAAATAGTTTCAGCCTGGCAAGTTTTGCTTGCTAGCTTTTGAGTAATACATTGAGCAGTATGATCAGCTTATAAAAATATACTTTTGTAAATTTTGTTAGCAATTACATATCCTTTAATTATGTAAGCACTCTTCCAGAATTATATTTTCCTTTTTCGCACAATAATAGTTAAACCCAACTTGTATCATTTTTAATTTAAACAATTTTTGTTCTTCCTTATAACATTAATCAGACTAATAAATTAAAAATAAATGTCATATTAGCACAAATATTAAAAATTAAACATTTAAATGGATTCCTATTCAACTAGCCAATTCACGCTAAGAGAAAAAATCTATAATATTTAACTGAAAACAATTTTTTCTCATTTTTATTTTTATTATTTTTGTTTTTTTTATTAGAGATGGAGCACATAAAAAAAACAATATAATAATCTAAAATAACTAACATAATAACATTACGTAATATGACTCTCATAATAATTATATTAATAGATTAATGTAACATTTGAAAGAAAATTGTATTTAATTATATTACGCTATTATTGCATTGCTGAATTTATTTGTTCAATTATTATTGTTTATTAATACTTCATACTTAGGGGTTTTACTAACTAATTATCTAAAACATCTCTTAACCTAACACTTAAAATAGAAGTAAATAAATGAAATATCTACTTTTTTCTGAATTAAAATAAATTGATTACCTACATCTAACTTAAAAAAATAAAACGTAGTGTCTGTCTTTTGTTCGTTTATGCTTCATAAAAATTATTACTAATAATATAACAATTATTAAATTTTAACAAAAATATAAATTGTTTTGTTCAACAATAGTTAGGAATGAATTATAGCATTGCTTTGACTAATTACGGTCAATTTGTGTCATTTAGAAACAATAGAAAACAAATGAAATAGTTTTTACGAGTACATTAAAACTATAATAAGAAATCTGCAGTCTATCAGCTATTTTGGACACAAGGAGAAAAATAAACAATACATTTGTTTAGTAGAAATGTACTGCGTCTTTTCTGTTTTTTGAAAAATCTAAAATTTTAAAAACATATTGAATCAATAATTCACTAAATTTATACAGAAAGAAAAATTGAGTGAGAGAAAGCTATCACTCTGAGTCACTATCATCTTGAGTAAGTTTATATTTTACATTTTCAATGTAAGAAACGGCCTGATTACTAGCATTGCCTTGTTTGTTTTTATACCTGATGTAAACCAGTATTAAGATAACAAATACAATCACATTAACTCCTAAAATGATACAAGTCCTGTAGTACCACTTAGTAAAATTAATAGCATGATGAAGTGATTTTGGATAACAATAACTCTCGAAGTCAGAAGTATACAACTCAGCATCTCCAAAACAAGCTGTGCATTGATAATCATTCGGACCATCACAGCGCTGACATGTATAATGGCATTGCTGGCATTCCATTGACCCTATAGGAAAAGAACCTGGAGGGCACTTGTCTTCACATTTTCCATTCCAAAGGATGAAACCGGCCGAACATTCTGTAAACGTGAAATATATGATTATTAAATAAAAGTAATAAAAAGAATAGTATTTCTGCATATTATAAAAAAATAAATACAAGTTTTCATACTCATTAAAAAAAAAAAATTTTAAACAGTAATATTCCAATGTAGTGGCTTGTTTATTCGATAATGACAAATAAATAATAAACAAAATTAAATATAGGGAGAAAAGAAAAATATCAAAAAATTAAATTATTAAGAAGAGAAATAGGAAATCCATTTTGTATTTTTAAAACATATACAATACACATAGAAATAATTTATGTAAGTAGTTGAGCTATCTTTATTTCATTTCTCATTTTCAGATCTTAATTATAGTACTATCTTAAATAATTATGGTATTACATAAATAATAATAAATAAATAAATGATGACAAATAAATGGCTGTGATACTCTGGCAGGAACGGGATACCTCATAATGCATAATAATGTCGCAAAAATATACTACCAAAGTATATGTAGAAAATTTGGACTACTGCAAAGTGATGAGTTACCCTATTATCGCTATGCACCGGAAAAACTTAAAGAAAATAGAAATATAAAAGTTTACTGGGATCAAAATGTAATTACGGACCATAGAATATTGCATAACCATCCGGATGGATATCTTAGTTATAAACAAAAGAAATAAAACTGAAAAATCATAAATATAGCAGTACCTTGTGCTAACAATGGTGGTTACCATGTACCACAGTCGAATAAATTAGAAAATATCAAGAACTTGCTTTTGAGTTAAAAACGCTATGTCAATTGGAAAAAGATTACTCCAATAATCATATCTTCAAATGGTTTAACATTGAAAAGCACAGTAGTGGGTACCCAAGAACTTGGACTTGATTTGGCACATTTAAAAGCAGCACAAAAAGCAGTCCTGCTTGATACGTGGAGGATTGTCAGAAAGTTTCTAAATAAATAGTTTTTTTATTTTTACATTCATCTACATTCTCTTGAGTGTTTTTTCCGGGATGTGGATGCTATTCCAGAAATCTGAGAAAGCTAAGCAAATAAAAAAAATAAAATTTATTGTTTTTCTAATATCAATGCTCAAGAGAAAAAGGATATAGTGAACAGTAAAGATTTTTAAAACAACAATTGTGACTTCGTTTTTTTTTAAACACTCAAAAAATTGTAAAAATTTGGTGTTTAAACTAGCTAAACACATATTCTTCCTCAGGCAGTTAACTTGTTAATCTGCTGTATATAGCAATGTATGTTCCAAGTTTATTAAATTTTTATATTGGTCTTTCTCTCTATCAAGTAATTTAGGCATAAAGCTTTGTTCTGATCTATTAATATTGCTCAGCCAACCTTCATATCGAAGCTTCATTTAATATAAGATTTTGACTATTTTCTTCACATTATTCCAAGTTTTCATTTCTTCCTCAAATTCAAAATCTCTGATTGCAGGTCACTTGAGTTTTCATTGTATTTCATGAATATTTTTTTGCTGTGTGCGTAATAAAAAGATATTGCAGTAAGTCTCTTCAGCTATAAAGGAGGCACTTGTTTGATATCAGATACTACGAAAGATTTTATCTAAGAAGTTAGGTCTAGAACAGTGTCAACCTGCTTCTTAAAAAAGGGTAGTTTTACAGTTTAAAAAGCTAATGTTGAGGTTTAGGGAATTTCTTTAATAATTCTCTTTAATGAGAAATTTAATATTGCGGACTTATTCCTAAATAACATTTTTAAACACCTTAACTAAAACTTCAGTAGCAAGAAGTGAAGTATAACAACATAATATATATATATATATATATATATATATATATGTTTTAGAGCAAATAAGAGACTTTACTACCCCCATATGATATTAAACAATCTACATATTTATTTGAAAGAAAATATCACAACAAACTTACTTCTAACTTACTTAACTCTTTTAATTTCTAAGATATAAGATATCAGGACTACCAAAATAAAGAGGATAATGCAGACCTGACCTTAAGAATACATGTTTTTTAATTTCAAGAATTTTTTTTCATCAAAAATTTTCATCTAACTTTTTATAAGTAGGTATAATGAAAAATTTTGTTACTTTATGGTATTCAAGTGATAAAAATTAAAGAATTTTTCAAGATTGATGCAGTTATTTGTCTAAATGAATCAATTTCATATGTGAAAATTTAAAATTATGATAATGTATGGCAAATCGTATTTTTCATGCATCAAATATTGAAACAATTATTGCAAACAAATAAATAGAAACAGCATGCTTTAAACAATTTTTATAATAGTATTTTTATTTATTTATGATTTGTGTTTTATTTCAATTAAGAAAAAAAGTAAATTATAAACTTTTCTTGTGTCAGCAATTTTTCTAAAATTTTAGCAATCAAAAAGGTTGTTTTCAATCCCTCTGAGCTCTTCTAAAATATTTTGAATAGCCTGAATCACTTTCGTCAAAACAATCTAATTAATGAAAAATAAGATTAAAATAATATGACGGCAAATCTATGAGATCAGTTGCTTATGCAGGCAGGTCACCGAATTTTAAGTTAAGCAGCAAATGAAGTAGAAAATATTTGTGATAAAAACAGGGACTATTTGTTAAGTGTAAAACTTAATGTAACAATAAAATAAGTAATTTCATAATCTATACAATAATTGTTCTTTTTTTTTTTCTAAAGCATCATCTTTAAGTCTCAAAAATTAAGAAAAAATAAAAGCACTATAGTACCAAAACAAAAACATCCCATATCAAACAAAACAGTAACAACCACAACACAATTAAAATAAGCATCAATATTAGGAACATTTGTTATCTATTAGAATGTAGACATGCCTTTAATATGACATATAATATATTAATATAATTGATTAAAATTATTCTAAAAATGAAAAATGATGGGTCTTGAACTTAGTTATGATTTGTAAAAAAGAACAACATTCGATATTATCTTTTGTCTACAAGATAAAAGTATCTCAGAGTGATTGCAATATATGAAATGAAACATGGGACCAACATAATTTTTTTTTTTTTTTTTAATACAAGCACATTTTTGTGATTTATCCTTAAAGAAGAATGTAAGACCCATTGAAATTTAAAAAAGAAATGATTCACTCCATTTAACAGTATTGTTCTATCAATTAGGATTATCTTCTTAATCAAAGATATTTTATACCTTTCTTCAGAATAAATAACAAATTGATTAGGAAAAATGCAATAGTCTTAAGCTATAGACATAAATATACCCCATGAACAGAACAAGTTAATTCATGCTTGATAAGTCAATCATATGCTCTAACTAATGGCTTATTTATTTGGGAGATTGATGATTAAAAATTTTATAAAAGTTGATATCTCCTTTTTATCTAAGGGATGTTAGTGAATAAAGTATCACAAGTTGGGTTTAATTTAGAATATTAGAAATATTTTTTTTAATATTCAGTAATAAACATCTTAAATTTCAATTTAATGTTTGGAGTGAACTAATATAATAACAGTCTCCATTAGAAATTTTCAAAAAAAAAATAAAAAATAAATAAATGTTTTATTCCTACTTCTCAAAGCATTCAATAAGAAAAAGTAAGAAAATTTATTTGATAATTACAAAAAAAAAAGTACTATAACAATCCATGAAGGGTTTTGTGTTCAGTACAAGATGGTCAATGGTTGTGCAAGGAGGTGATTTGACAGAGATCATGCTTAACTGCCAGATTTTCCTTCTTAATTAATTATTTAATTAAGGGTTCCCACTTTATTAAGGCCAGGGTCAACCCACGGTCGATGAAACAGAATAAATAATTTATCTGCCATCAGCCAGACTTGGACTCGGGAACATGAGCATTGGAAATCAGCATCTCACCTTAGAGCTACTCCACTCCCCTTTGGTAATTAATAGGAGATAATAAATGTGGGATTAGATTTTTCATATTATTGCTGATGTGAAAATTTAGTTAAACTTATCCATTCTGGCGTTTGTAATTACTAATAGCAACAAAATAAAAGAGTTAAAAAAATATATTATAGAATAGGCAATTAGGTGCAAGCATGCGGAAACTAATGACTCATCATTATAACACTATTATCAAATTAAAATTAATGAACAATCAAGCTGTCCTCATCAATATTTATTTTGTCAAATATAAGAATTATAAAAAAACAAGCCTTTATATACATAAATGATTAAGTATACTTGATGGCATGCGATTTGAGTTTTAATGATTAACATAAGGCTGAAAGTACTATTTATCATAGCAAAATTATAATTAACTAAGATTGAAATATATTAATATAATAATACAGTATTTTTAAATGCATACACTTAAGAAAAATAATTAAGCTAATAAATAGTACGTTAGAAGAAATCAATAGGGAGAGAAAAATAAATGTAAATAAAGCAAAAGTTGAAGCGATAATTTTTAAAATGCAAATATATAAAGGGATAGTTAGGGGTTTAACTCACCCCAAAGCATATGCTGTTTGAGAGACGTGCTCCACATGCCCCAACACACCGCCACCCTCATCTCCTTTTCTTGGTTTTATTTCTCTCTTACTTCCTTTTACTCGACAAAATTGTCAATTTTATCGGGCTGAATACATTACTTATACCATTTTCATATTAATAAAATTATTACAATAATTCAATTTGTTTTTTTTTAATTATAAAGATTATAATATAGTAATAATAGATACCTACAAGTATCTCTAATATCTGAAAACATTACATATAAATGTGAAAATATATTTTACTCAAGCCCATCACCTCTTTTTTCATAAAAAAATTAAATATGACCTGGGATTATTGAAATTCATGAATACCATAGTTAATCAAATCAATTTTATATTTAGTACCATCAAGATCTCATTGAGGATTTAATAGATAATGGTTTGTCAAAAAATTATCAAGACAAAAAATTTGTTAACTTACTGCACATTACTTATATCAGAAAGGATAAAATAACATCAGATAATAGTAAAATAAAATTAAAGGAACAAGTATAAAAATAATTGAAGTTAAAATTGATATACCTCATTTATACCTTTATAAATGCATATAAAGATAAAAATTAAATCATGGATACCTAAGAGTATTAAGGGAAAGAAAAAAAGAATTATCCTAAAAAGAATAGTGAATCATTATATTGTCAGCTAATAGCTTTCTTTGTATTAATATTTTGTCTTGTTAGTTTTGATTATTATTTATTAGTGAATGTTTTGAGGAATCTCTGTCTCCCTCTTCAGCATCTATAAGATGTAAAAGTTCCAAAATATTTCCAAACTTTATAGAAAATAATTTATAATAAATGCTGAGGAAAGAGACAGAAATCACCTAAAATGTTCACTAATAAATAATAATCAAAACTAAATGTGATTATTTATTATACTAATCTATAGGCAAACCATTAATGAAAAGATAATTTTAGAAAAAAAAAATGTCAAAAACTGGAAAATGAAAATTTCTTTGTTTCTATTGTAATAAAAGGACTTTCTGTGACTTTACTAGTTTATATAAAGAACTATCATTTGGGATTTCTATTTAAAAAATTGAGTTCCAATTTTAAATATATATAGTGAGAGAGAGGGAGAGAGCGAGATTATATATATCTCATGTTGAAATTATATCAAATATATTTGTAATCTCATGTTATTCTACTCATACATTGGATAATTAAGTGGTATTTCATACATATAGATATAAATTATTTATCTTTTATTAAAATTTATTGATAAGATTGATATGTTGCACAGATCAAAATTAGATATTAAATGCTTTAGAAATAATAAATACGGTATTTGTTACTGGTATATAAGATTAGCAAAGCTGTGAAAGTAAAATTATAAATCAAATAAATCTTAACGCTAGAAGAATAATAACAAGCTCAAGGGATAATAGTAATTTCAAAAAAGAAAAAAAAGAGACTAATATAAATAGTACTAAAGATTACTAAAAATATTAAAATAAAAAAAACATATTTTTTAAAAAATTAAATGCAATTATAAATGCTAGGATGGGTTCAAGGTTTTTTTAAACGAATAATCCTTTATTCAGCCATATAAATAATGTATCATGTGTTTATTAATATTGATTTACAGACTTTATACACGTTTCAGTGGCCTTGGATATTTGAATTTCTCCAATGATCAAATAAACTCACTGACTTATAAATAATATTTCATATATATAATATATATTCATACAGTATATATGTTTATACAATTCTCAACACAAAAGTATTGAAATCACCAACACAACTCAACTATTTTACAATGTAAAAAAAAAAAAAACTCAAAATAAAAATATACTGGAATAGATAACATTAAATGAAAATTTTCTCTATATATAATTTGATGAAAACAAATCTACAGTTAAAGAAGAAACAAAAAGAAATTCTTATGGAGTAAAATATTAAAACATTTTTTAAAAATTTCAATAATAAAAAAACAGAAATATTATCTCTAAAATAAATTGAAGGATTGATTACAAAATCAAACATATCAAAATTGTCATTTTGAAATTAGTACACCCATTAGTTGCACAATGGTTAAGGCTTATGTTTTCTTATGGTCTATGGTCTTCACCAAAAATACTTACAGAGATTGTAAATAAAAAGGCAGATATTTCTTGACCAAATGTATAGCTCCTTGACCATATTTGAACATTCAAGAAATGTGTGCCACACAAATCTCTGAATATGAAAAATGTGTAAAGCTAAGAAAACCTTATTTCAGACAATTAGCCTGCTAAAAACTATCTCAAAAGTAGGTTTGAACAGCTAGGATTAGGACCTTTCTCCTGCTTATACTCAACTTCCAGGGATAAAGCTTAGTAAAATTCAGAATCTGAGGTACCTCATCCTGTTCTTATAAAAGCTACAATATTGAGGCTAACGTTACCAACTGTTTTATCCCATCAAGCATGACTTATTTATCAAGCTATCATCGATTTTAATTTGACTAATCAAGTCCCGAAGTAGGTTAAGATAAATCCAAGACTATACAACTCTTGACTGTAACCAGCCTTCGTCCATCAAGTCTAATGGTTTGTCTTTTCCCTTTCCTAGAAACAACCAGTTCCTTCACCAATCCGATTTTTTTAGTAAACATGCCTTGAAAGTAAACAAACATAGTAGCATCCTTATAGCTAATAATTGAATAACTTATCGTAAAGGAAAATTGAGTAACTTAATAATGCGACAGAGAAGTAAGAAAAGTTAGTTTTATTTCTCAATAGCGACAATGTTTGATATGTTTTTTATAAATCAAACCTTCAATATCAATAATATTAATTAAATTGGTAAAATTTTAAATGAAATATAATCTGAACACAGAATTTTGACAATATTAATGATATAATGAAAACTGTAATAGGTATTAAATTTTGATAATTTTAATAAATCAGTGTTCAATGAATCGAATGAATTGGGTTGAATTCGACCAAATCAGCACAGCAACATATAGTTTAAAATTGAGCATTTTCGAACACTTTTTGGATGGAGGTCTACACAGAAAAAGGAATACCCTACACGACGAACACACTACCAAATACATAATACTGATCAAACATTGACAAATCCACCTCCACCAATAAACAGCAAACCACATAAATTGGCTCTTTACGTTTATATAGTTGCACTTGCAGCAGTAGACAATAAAGCAAAACAGTCCTGTTACAGAGGTTCAGCATAATTAACTTGAATGGTTAAATGAGGTTAGAAAAAAAAAAGATAAGTGAATTCTCAATCTGAGATGATATCAAGAAAATAAAAAAAAATAAAAATATTTAAAGAGCCTGCTGCTACTGAAGTGTATAAACATTTTGAAGGCAATAATGTATTTATGATTTATACTTAACTTTTACAACTTTTTTGTATTTTTACCAATGTCTAAAGGCAAAGAAACAATTTTTTATTTATTTTGCATTTACATATATAAATATTGTTTTCAAATATTAATCAATCAATCTTTTTTTTATTTAAAAATGTTCTCCAGACATGTATTTTACTTTATACTACCATTAAGTACATTGTACATACTTGGTAAAAATTCAAAAAAGTCATTTTTATTAAAAATTACCATAAAAACTTCTTTGCTGAAAAATTGTCTAAGAAATATTGTCCCAGTACAATAAAAATTCACAATATTGTATCACATAGCACGAAAAATTACACGATCCGAGGGAACACTTAAGTCCGTGTCACTCTTTGTTCACTAATCGCGTTCCTCAGAGATAGTAAAAATACGATAAGAACAATAGACAAACCTAGACATGAGTTAGAAGGTTTGTTGCAGCCAGATGACACTTCTGGCATAGTGCGTATCACCTCCTGCGAGGTCTGCCCAGTACGTTGGGCAATTTCTTTCCACCTACTTCCACTGTTTAGTTCGACTGAGTTGTCCTCATTAAAACTGTCAGTATTTACATCTTCTTTTTTCTTAGGTGTGGCGGTTTCTAATTCATAACCAGGGGCAGTTTCAGTTCCATAGAATATCAAATTCCAATCAGAAAGTTTAGCTGGAATAGTAAAAAAAAAAAAGAAAAATTAATAACATTTTAATTTAACAGTGATTAAACATATTTTTTAAATTATAAATAAATTAATTTTAGTGAAAAACGAAACCAAAAAAAAATTAAAACAATCATCAATAAAATATTTTTATAATCTTTGTGTTGTAACTTTTTGATAAGTAGCATATTTTCTAAAATAAACATTGATCAAACATGGGATAGAAATAGAAATTAGCAGCATAGATGAATAATTAAATTAAATATATAAATTTATGCAGAAACAATAAAATCATAATTAGTTTTTAAATGGAGAAGGTTAAAATTTAAAAACACTTAAATGTTTTAGAAAATTGTATTAATAAAAGAATAATATAGGTATAAAAATAATATCATTATTGTGTTATATAATAAATACATGTTATAAATGAATTAATTTTTACATAAAACTAACAGACAGTTAATAATGTTAAATAATATCAAAATCAACACCAACAAGCAATGCAATTATTAGATCGTGGTTATTATTAGTTTTGAAGGTTAGGTTTCAGATGGTGAAATTATTAAAAGAAGTCAAACAACAGGCAGAATATCATAAGCTTGAATGAATGTTTTAAGAATAAAATAAAAACTATTATTTAACTATAAAATTAATCTTTAACTTTATTTTCTTTAAATAATATCTCATACAACTTTAAAAAATGTCTTATAGAATCTAATCGAAAGCTTTAAAGTAGGGTATTCAACTTAAAACAGTTTATCATAGAATTCCCACAGAAAAACATTAAAATTACTTATTTGGTAAATTGATAGTTGCTTGTAATAATATGCCTGTTATATGAACATATAAAACATACAAATTAGCTTTACTATTTAAAAAACAACAATACATTTCTACAATAAATGAAGCGTGTAAGGCATAGATTAAAAAAAAAAATGCAAATTAATAAATCATAGCTGTGCAACAATACAATTACACTCATGCTACAAACTGCAATTAAAACAAAATATAATATGAAATGACAATAACTTTGTAATTACAAAAGCTAGGACTAAAAAGTACAAAAATCTAAACAAATAATCAACAATATCTACTTTAAAGACTTTTTAAAATAGAATAAGTACAAGAAAATAAAGAGTAAAATATGGCAAATAAAAATGTCTATAAAAAAAATCAGGTAATTCAAATAAATAGAACGATAACACTATTTCTAAGAGAATGGAATGGAGGAATCTTTTTCAGACAGTCTTGCCTGTTTCTTTTTGAAGATCAGTGGAGTCTAGGCCTTTTCTTGATGGTCTTAGTGGGGATTCATTTATCTTAGCATATGGAAACAGTTGTTGTACTTTGTTATACTTTTGAAATATAGCTGGGAAAAGATTTGTGGACTGACTAGCTTGCTGTGGGGGAGCTAACAATATTGTAAGCCCTATCGGATGGGTCGCTGTCAGCAAAGGGGAAATAGTAGGCCTTCTTGCAGATATCACTGAAGGCCTGGGTGTCTTCCTTCCCCCTGAAGGAGCACTTGTTGGGAATAATTTCTTCGCTCTTCCTGGTTTTTGTGTGGCGTTGGCCGACTTATTTTTTCGAGCGCCTTTGCTCTTCTTTGGCTGAGTTGGAAGATTCAAAGGGGGAGGTGGTCTGGGAGGAGGTACAGGAGGTGGAACATAGCTCCCTTTGTAAGATGGCGGGGGAACTTCTGTCCCATAGAATATCAGGGCCCATTCCTGTAGTGTAGCTCTCCCTAAAATTAAATTTATTTTAAAAGAGTAAGAAAATACAAAACAAAAACACTACATTTTTTTTTATTGTAGTGTAAAAGCGCAATTAAGCTATAAATGATTTACTATTATAGGAGAAGTAAGTCAAGTTTTATGTAGCATTTTCCAAAAACTTATCATTAAAAAAATATGTACTAGGTAATTATTATATGATGATACAATGAAATTCCATAGCATCTAACACTAAAAAATATTGAAAAGTAGCTAGCATATAAATGATGTAACAAGAAATAGTTTAATGTCATACATGAGAAAAATAAAATACCACTGAAGCAGGTACATATACCAATTTCATAGATATATTTTTACTTAATTTCAAAACATATTATTATTTAATATAATGGATTTTTTTATGTGCTTTCTTTTGAGAATATGAATATTGCCATTAATAATTATAGATATTAGCTGTAGTATTAATGTTATTTTTATCTTGTAATTTATTTTGTTATTAATGTAAGTTAATCATAAGGAAATATTAATATTTAAATTATTATATAAAAAGAAAAAATGGAGATAGACTATATTTGTGTGGAATTCTTCACTAAAAACAAATCCTGAATAAATAAATGAAAGTTATGTTATTAAATCCATTAAATTTCTAGTTACTTATGGAAAAGCAGTTATCTCAACCATATACAAAACCAAATGGTATATATTAAGGCATTCTATAACTAAAATATTATAAATATGTATCATGAGCACCGTTATAAACATACACATAATACTAAAATATAAAAATAAAATTTATGTTGTAGTTGAGGTGTGTTGTAACTGACATGCTGTGGAATGAATGGATTATCACAAAGTGACAAAGATCGAAAATAAAAATTAAATATGAACAGTTTTTAAATGTAATGTAAAAATTATTGATTTTTGTTGGGTAAATTTTTTAATAGAACTCACATATGTTCTACTTTGATGTTCATTGTTACTTTAAATATAATACCATAGGATCTACATTTATAGAGTAAATAATGGAAAATATGTAAAAAAAAAAAAAAGATAGAAAATGGCTTCACAAAATCAAAATGAGTTTTAAAAGGGGCTTCTGTTAAACTTATAGCAGTTAAAGCATACATTTTTATAAATGATAGTTTTTAAAATTTCAACATATCTAGTTCCACAGAATTACGTTTCTTTTAAACTAATAAAGATGTTCAGTCGAAGAAACGTGGCACACAAAATTTATAGTGTCAAGCAATACTCCTGTTTGTTTTCGGAAGAAACCTTTAAAAAAAATTAATGTTCCTTTGCTGTTTATAGGGATTGCTGTTAATGGGAATTGCCAAAACATAATAGTGATTTAGTTATGAACTTTAAGAAATTATCAATCATTAAATATTAAGAATACAAATATAAAAACGGTATGTCCAGTGACGGAGAGTGTAAATGGTATTCTATTGCATCCAAATATCTCCAATAAAACTATTAAAATAATATCTAAGTCTTGTGTTTCTAGAAAAGATATTCACTGTTGAATTAGTTCAGTTGAAATTATCTTAACGAAAGAAAATGCTTTTGATGTTTTGTCTCTCCTCTCAAACATCATTTTAATTGAGTTTCTTTTGAAAAACCTATGCTGCAAGAAAGATAGACCAGAAAAAGTCTAAAAATGTTTAAAAAATTGAACAAGCCAAAGCCATTGTCAAATTTTTAAAAAATATTTTTATAGTGTGTTACTATTATAGTGTCTGAAAACACTATAATCACAATGTTACTAATTACTTAAGAAAAAAAAAATAGTTTGTCCCACAAAATGAAAGAGAGAAAAAGATATCTTGAAAGATTCTAATGATTCAAAGATTATCAATAATGCAGCAAAATTAATTTGAAAATAGTGATGATTAAAAACACCAAATATATATTACATAAAAATAAAAGATCTTTTAGTAATTGATGTTCCTGGATAACAGCTCGACCAGCATATTTTCATTAAAAACCTTATATTCATCTTACAACACTAAAATAATGAATAATTATTATTTTACCCAAAATAATAATCATCATGAATTTGATTTGATGCCTTCCTGTAGTTTTTATTATAGTTAACTGAAATGGAGATCCCAATATATATCCTCCATCAAGTGCAACTCATCAAATCGCGCTAATCTGATTAATAATGTTAAGGTTCAATAAGTTAGAAAGTTTGATATTTTCCTTACTTAACCTATACACCTCCAAGACCTCCTCAAAACTTAATTTTTAAGATTAGACTTGAGAACATCCTCTGATCAAAGTCTATACTTTCATCATTTATACATATCTCAAGTGCATACTATCTTTCACTGGATTAATTCTTTATTCTACACACTAACTTCATAAATCCACTAAACTCAAAAATATTATATTACCTATTCTATTCACTAATCTTTCCATCACTTAATATAATTTCCATTCTATAACATACACTTATAATACTATGCCTTATATCAGAGATTGTACATTTTACTTCAGCGTTTCTTTAAACCATCACTGAAAACTGACCAAAAACATTATATCAATAAAAATTAGGAAACAACAACATGAATGTTCCAGGGACAAAAACATGACCCTTTTGGCCACTTCTTTTCCATCCCTCCAAGAAATATAATCAGGAGAAACAATTCCATGCGTTGGTAATGTGAAGAAATGATATTCTTAAGTTTTGTGGACTATAAAATTGTGTTTCTAAATATAATTGTATATTTTACCAACAGTTGAATCATAGAAGTATTGAGGAAGCTGTTAAGCAAAATGTTGTCAAAAATAGAAAAAACAAATAGATTACTTTTAAATGATTATTAAAATTGTCATATATATTTCAGAGAAATGTGCAACTGGCAGAGGGTTAATAATTTTATAGAAAAAGAAAGAACCTATTTCTTTTATGGAAAAAGAAAACCTTGAAAAAATACTGAACAAAATGAGCATTGAACAATTGTAAGAAAATGTACCAACAGTTATTAAAAATTCAGAATATCTCACAAAAATAATAAGTTCTGGATAAATTTTTATTTAGTAGGCCAAAAGTGTGCTTTAATTAAATTCCTATAACATTTCACTTAAAGATACATTAGTAGATATTTATTAATGATTCCAAACCTAAATTGATGAATCCCAAATGTACAAAATGTAGTTAGTATTTTTTTAAAAGTGCACCACCACAATGTTAATAGAACAAATGAACAAATAGCCAATTAAATAATAATTAAAAAATTACTTACCTAAAAATCTGGCTTCATTGTGTATTTCCAGTTTCCAGATACCCAGAGGATTTTCACCCCAGGTATGAACTGACATGAAAGGCCATGACCTGAATCCAGAACGGGATACATCATGTGGTCGTCGGGCCAAGAGAGTGGTTCTAGTGCCAGCAGGAGAGGTTAATTGTATTTCCAAATCACCTCGCCTTTGTGACATCAATGTAATCTTTGCCTGAAAAAATATTCATTACATCAAATAAAATTAAAAAAAAAATTTTCGGCATAAATTCAAAGTAAGTGAATGAAGACAGCATCAGGATGAAATAAGGACATGACAATGGTTTTCTGACAAGATGATGACAAAAAAACAAAGAACAATTCTTATCAATAGGATTTCAGAAAGGTCGTAACACAAATGATTATAACAGGTGTTCATAACAGGCATGAGTAAGTTCAAAACACCACACATTTATTATTCTAAATTTTAGCCTACAATAAGATCAATTATGATTTATTTTTAATGTATGAATTGGCCATACCAGCAAAGTTGAATCGTTTATCAATGGCTACCATGGAAGGCACCGTCAGTAGAGTTACGGTAAAAGGAAGAATTGGCGACTCCTTTGCGGTTTGTTCGGGCCTTAAGCAAGATGACTCATTAGCCCCATTCCTCTTTAATATTGCCCTAGAGACCATCATGAGAAGGGCAAAATTGAATAACGGAGGAACAATATTTCACAAAATGACCCAACTGCTTGCGTATGCTGACGATGTGGACATTGCAGGGCGATCACTTCAAGCAGTGAAGAGTGCATTCAGTAGGTTGGAGAATGAGGCAGGGAAAATGGGGCTATGCATCAATGAAAGTAAAACCAAGATCCTTGTTTTAAGGAAGAAAAAGCTTGTCCATCCACCATAACACTATATCTTAGGAACCACACTTTTCAAGCTATATTAAGCTTCACCTACCTCAGGTCCATAATTAACAATAGCAATAATGAAGAGAAGGAGATAGGAGCAGGTTAATGGCTGCCAATAGAGCGTACTTTTCTCTAGCGAGCCTTCTGAAAAGTAGAGTGTTAAGTCGTACAACGAAGTTTAGGATATACAAAACGATTATTCGGCCAGTTGCAACATATCCGTGTGAAACATGGACTCTAATAAAGGCATCTGCTGAATGAATAGACCGGTTTGAAGGAAAATACTAAGATGGATAATAGGACCTAAACTGGAGGAAGGAGTACCCCGCTTGAGAACAAACAAAGAGGTATACTCAATGCATGGTGATCTGTCTATCTCTCAATTCGCTCGAGTATAGAATGAAATGGTTAGGACATGTCCTGAGAATGGATGAAGCGAGGACAGCGAGAAGGCTTTCTCATGGGAAACCAGAGGGAGGTAGGTCTAGGGGAATACCGACGGCAAGATGGATAGACAAGGTAAAAGAAGACTTGAGAAAAAACGACATATACATCAGGTGGGTAGCCAACAGAGATTACTGGGTAAAGGAAATTGAGCAGAGCAAGAACCACTACTTGCGTCTGTTGTGCCAATAATGAATGAATGATTTATTTTTAAAGTGTTACTACCCAGCCATAGAGACTTTAGAAGTTAAAAATATGATAATAATTCATAAATATAAAACAATTAAGATGCAATACCTGCACATGTTCCAGATAATTGACTCCAGCACATTCCTTCACATGTAACTCCAGAGTTACGTAGCTCTTGGCCGGTATTACCCTACATTAGAGTAAACAATTTTTTTAAAAAAATAAGGAAAATTAAATAATGAACAATGAAAGGCTAATAAAATTATTTAAGAAGTAAATATTTGTAGTACAATTATAGTTGATCATATTTTCATTTCTATTCATTCATTTAAGTACTAAATAAAAATTACAGTTGTCTTAAATGAATCAATTAAAATAACTATGGAAATAATGAAGTAATAGTATAAGAAAAACATTATCTATCATTTTTTAATGTTTGTTGAAACTAAACAGATTAGGCAGTTTTTATAATATTATAAAGAACTATTATGTAATGATTTTATGGCATAATCTAATTGCTACGTACTTATCAGTATGTGGAGCTAAAACTTCACATTTATGTTGCTCTGGAACTGTCGGCCAATGTCTTGCAAGTTTGACCATTGCAGCTGCATCCATTAGGCCATATCCAAAAGAATGGCTCACTAAAAGGAACAAAAAGGCAAACAGAATAAATGTTGATGCTTTGAAAAAAATGTTAGATTGATAGTCGAATTAGTTGTTTCATCCTAAATAAAACAATTGTTAAGGGTCATGAAAATTGATTTTTTTTATCTGTGTTTTAGTTTGCAAAAGTATTTTCTTCCTTCCAGTGTAAATATATTTTATATTTTTATAATTTAGTAAACTATTTGATGAAAAAGATACTAGAATTATGCTTCTTATAGAGAGTAATTTATCATAAATTGATATATACATTTTTTTTTGTAATTTGTGTTATAGTTCTTTGATCAAACAAAATAAAAAAAGATATATACAAAATAATGATAAAATGTTAAAATTATAAGTTCCATGCCAAAGTAAAGTAAGCTAATATAATAGTAAATTTAATCAGCAACAGGAAGCTTTGACATTATATATTTGAAATTACTACAAACAATATACATTTGATAGTTCTTACCATTTCTACCAACTCCATTCACTGTCCAATCGGGAGCTTTAAGATTAGCTGGTTTTGCAGTTGCAACAACAATGTGCTGCATATCTCTCCATGTGAGTTGAGTGTTGGCTTCAAGAGCAAGAGCACAGATACCAGCAGCCAGGGGCGCTGATGCTGAAGTGCCTGTGTGGCTCGATGTACACTGATGATGCAGATCGGTAGTTACAATCTACAATCCAAACAACAAGAAATATTAAAATATGTAAAAAAGCTGAAGGTTTAACATATATGAAGGGATGATGATCTAATATTTTACATTGTATAAAAGTAGATAATCTATCTAATTTACCAGCAATTAGTATCATAAAAATATATACGTTGTAAGATAAAATAAAATAAAAATTATCTTCCTCAAAAGGAACAAAATACTACACAAATAATGTAACAAGAGAATTTATGTAATAGTAAATGTAAATGGTATGATTTTAATATCATGGCTGGGTTCGTGAAAAAAGCAAATGAAACAAATGATATCAATCAATGAAATTACCTATAAACATGTATATTATAAAATATACATAATCATAACATTGACCGATCTTGCATTAATTGATATGAATGAAATGATATGATGTTGGAAAAAAAAAAAAAATAAAACACTGAAACTAATAGACATATATTTCACACTTTTCCCCAATTTATTTTATAATTTAAAATTAAAAACATTTCAAGGTAGATACAACATTCCTATATCTTTTTCAAATCAATGTGAGTTATAAAAGGAAATGTCCCTTCAATTTTAATACATTTCTGATGAGATTACCTGAAAGATTACCCAAATAAACATGTTACACCTTTTAGTCCTGTAGGTTGAAATTAACTTTCAGAAACAGTAAGAGTATACTTAAATACAATTAATTTTCTTTTGAATATGTCCTAATGTTTTAGAATAACAATGATGAATAAATAAAGCATAATGCAATCCATCGAATTTTGTCTAAAATGATTATTCCAAAATTAATTAAAACTGTTAGATAAATAATTTTTAAGGATATGGCCATAGATGTAATATGATTAGTGGATGTGATATGATTTCATTAATAATTTAAGAAATGCTCTTTAGCATTTAACAATTTTTTTTATTTTTCAATCATCTCAGCAAAAACTTACAGCATAAACGGAAATAAATGATTGAAAAGCACTTTGTACTGAATAATTAGTTTTAAAATTCCCCTATTAAAGAATATTGCAATGATTTAGAAAAGAGGTAGTCATCACTGAATAGTCAGTTTTAAAATGGGTGATTATTAATTGTGTAATGAAATTCTTATTAGACTTGAAAATTAAAAATTCTCCTTATAAAGCTTAATTTAAAAAAAGTTTATTAATGTGTCAAAAAACTAATATTTTATTTGGCACTATCACACCAAATAAACTATATTTCATATTTATATACTTATCTTTGATGATAAATAGTAATGATAGAATAAATACCTGATGAAAAAGCAAAAAATAATTTAAAAACAGGAGCTGCGAGTATAATTCATTTATTGAGTAAATCTCTGAGAACAAAACATTTATATTATTCTATTTATTTGTTTTTTGTAATTATAGTTTTAAACATTGTTTCTTTCATTCTTCTATTTGGTGATTCATTTATTGTTAAATGTTATTTTAATTATTCTGATTTTGTGGAAACTTACTTTTTATGTAAAAGTTTGTTTAATTCTCTTGCTTTGAAATACTTTTAAGACCAGGAACTTTTATTGTAATGATAATATGTTTATACATTATGTAGATCTAATTTCATTTGTTTTTGTTTTAATCATATACTTCTTTTATTAACTATTTTTTCTCTATACTTGAACATTTGAAGTACTGTTTATGTAAAGTTCCTTTAGGTTTACTTCTTTACATTGATTCCCATTATGTAAGTCGATATATTTTATATTTATAAAAATTCTTTGATTAACAATATAATATGCTTTTGCATGGTGTATCAATATTTTCTATAAAATAATACACCTCTTCTATAGAGCTACTACAGATAAGGGATCGACTCTGGAGTCGGGAGATCCTCCTGGGGCACACCCAGCCTCCATAAAGAGGGTACTCTTAATTAAATAATTAATGAGGGATTAAAACTGGCGGTTGAGCGTGATTTCGGCCCTATTAATAATATTGTAATATTCATATATTTTGATTACAATAATCTCAAATTGGGTTTTCAAAAAGTATAAAAAATAAACCATTTTTGGAATCCATTAGACCAACCTGCTTTTCTCCAGTTGATCCGCTGCTGTAGGTTGTAGCAAGCGTTGATGAGCATGCCTCTGAGTACCATGGAACTAGTCCATTTTCAGTGGCACTAGAGATAGATAAAGTCCAAATTGAGTTTGTATAACCATCACAGTTACAGTTATCATGGTCCCTGCCGCCATTACCTGAGGCCCAGACAAAGATTGATCCTCTTCCTCCTCGACCCTAAAAATGTCAACATATATACATCAACACACATATATATCTTCTTCTTAAATTAGTCAACCAAGAATTAAGATAAGGAAAAAAAAAATATTGTTGGAATAGTAAAGGTGAATAAAATTCAGTTACAAGAATTCTAAGATATACCTTATTCAAATAAAATTATAAAACACATAAGTTTAAAAAAAAATATCAAGCACATTATTCTTTTTTAGAATAGAATAGAATAGAAAATATAACTTTATTCTGGGACTAAGAATAGAATAACAAAGATGAATCAATACAAAATAAAATACCAATGTGGCCAAAAACTAACTTATAAAAATTCTAGTATTATATGCATTATTTAAAAAGTAGTATGTAGCCACTAAGAAATAAAAAAAAAAAAAAAATAAAAATATATATATATATATATATATATATATATATAAAAATGAACATACAATCTTCTCAAAATTACTTATTATAGTATTGAGAAAAAAAAAAAAAAAGAAAGAAAAGAAATTACATATCTATATATACATAACTGCACAATTTATAAACAATAGGCTATCTAATAGAAAAATAATTTAATACAAAATGTAATGATATTTACAGTGATTCATATAATAATAAGCAAACACTAAGATAAAAATAAAATCTTAGGATTAATTGTAGTATAAAGGTAAAAAAAGGAACTATATATACGTACTTACTCATATTGGTACACAGAGAGACAAAAAGTATAAAATATAAACATATATGCTCGAAAGAAAAAGCACAACCTGAGGTGAAGAGAGATATAAATAAATAGTAAAAATAATAGTCAAAGATCATTGCTGTTTTATGTTAAAACTTAAACAGTAGGCATCACCATTTACTTCTCACAACTTCAGTTCATAAAATGAAATTTATGGTTGCGAATCGTCTGTTTGGGATGTAAGGAGATATTGGAAAAGGAGGTATTTAAACGTTGACAGTGAAGAGGCATGACAGATATTATGTGGTAAAGAATTCCAGTAGGCGACGGAGCGGGCTAAGAAGGAACGTTCATAGGTTTTTGTTTTGTGGAATGGAATATAGAGGTCAGAATCATGGGATCTTGTTTTTATTGAGAGGACTAAAGGTTTCGGCTGGAGGAGGCAGTTTTTATAGATAGATATAAGAAGTTTTTATGATGTAATTTAAATTTAAAAATGTCTTCTGGAGAGAAGGAAAAATGCAAGTAATGAAATATTTGATAGTTTATAGAATATTAATTATATTTAAAGGCCAATAACTATTAAATTGGCTAATACTAAGCCCGTATTTTACATTACATAAAGTTACATTCACTATTTGAATATATTTTAAAGCTAAAATTAATATAACTGAATGTTCAATTTCTATGATGTTTTACTCTTCATAAATTCAACTTTTGTCAATCAATGAAATTAGCTCATACATCAACATATTTACACCTAACATCTAAATTTGATTTTAACAAATCAATTGAATATTCGGAATATGATGTAAATAATATATAAATACCCTAGTAACTCCTTCAATGAAAGCCCTCATGGCTAGTTCTCCAGGCCCATCCACAGTCTTTCCATCATCATCTGGTCCCCAGGAAGCTGAATAAATGTCGATATGTTGTGGGTTTAAGGAAAGTGAGCGAGCTTCCACAGCATCTGTCACATCACCGTCCAACATTCGGACTCCTGTAATGCAAAGCCATTTCATGAAAAGTTAATTCTTAAAATTTATTGCTATTTTATTTATTTATTTATTGGTTTGTAAACAGCGTAGCCATGGAGTCTGGCCCAATCAATGTTAGTTGTAGTTAGTTTGTAAATAACAGGTACAATATAAAACGTGATACAATACATGAGGACAATATAAGAAGGAAAAAAGATAAATACATTAACATAAATTGTTCAGATCAATATAAACTAAGTTTCACTGTAGATTCACCAACAAAATAAATTCAATTAAAACAAAAAAAAAATTACAAATTTTATAAGAAACAGTGATACATAAACTTAAATATACTTCTTTATTTCACAATGCTATAACTAAACAAGTGTTGGATCGTAAAAACTATTATGCTGTAAAACCTATTTAAGTTTTTTTTCCCTGAAGAACACGATACAACCGCAAATGCTAGTGTGCGTGGAGCATTAGAGATAAGATAAAAACATCTAATCCGTGACTGAATTTTAGTGTTATCAAGAAGAATAAGACATGACTGGACAGACTGAAGTCCTATATGGAATGAGCCTTGTGCGGATTTGTTTTAGGACTTTTCGATGTCACCCCTATCATACGTATTTTCAAAAACAGTCAGTCTTTTTTTCTTTAAAGATAAAATAAGATGATGCTTATATTTATTTCAGTTTAATTGAGCTGTTTTTGAAACTTCCTGTACTTGTTTGAATCTGTAAATGAAATTCCATTAAAATATTCAGCTCATCGAAAATTGCCACCTCAGGCGATTGTCAGCTCGAGCAAACATAAATTGCATTGAATAAAAAAACCTCAAACATATTATTAATATGTAACAACAAATGCTATTTCTTGTGTGAAATTAATGAAACATAATTCGAAATTAATAAAGAATTCTTAATAATTTTATAATTGTGGATTACTGACTGATTGTAGTGAATAATTGAAGAGAAGATTGGTTGGGTGATTAGTAAAAAAAAAAAAAAAATGTAAAAATAAATAAGATATTTATTTTTATTTTTGCCGACGTTTCGGCCAAAAGTTTAGTACTTTATCGAGGCTAAGAAAGGACCAGATAAGAATAGGTACGAGAAACTATTAACATTAAAAAGTTAAAAAGAAAAAATGATATGTAGGTGAAAGGTATAGTCTAAAAAATGTAGGTAGAATAAATTTAAAGGAAATATAAAATAACGATAAAGTGAGAGGTAGAAAGTAGCGTAAGCAAAGTTAGGATATATAACATAACAGTAACAAAGTTAGGAAATTATGAATAAAATAATAACAGTAACAGAAAACTATGAAATAAATAATAACGGCAAATTAGGGACTGATGAAATAAATATAATCAAAATAAGGTAACATTTTAAATAAGAACAAGAAATGAAAAATGAATTAACAACGAAATGTAATGGAATGTATGAGATAAGAAACGTGAGTGTAGGCATAAAAATGGGATGACATTGTTGCTAAACTATGTCTCAGAATACAGGATACTAGATAGATGAGTATATCTTATATCTCTGCCGAAAAGTATTCCAATGTATTTCATGTGTTAAATGTCACAAGAAAATGGACGGAAATGAAAAACCCGTTCCTCCAGATGGTGGCAGTGGCCTGTGCTTTATTCACCGGAAACTCTTTGGTTGACTAAATTACCCACACTATGTCACTTGACAAAAAGCTTTTATTTTTCGACTTAGATTTTTTGTTTAAATATTGTAAGATTTCTCATATAATCTCTGATGGTTACACATATTTTTCAGTCCTACGCAGTACTTAGGAGTTGTTAATACGATTTCTGCTTTTAAATATTACAATTATTAGATATACAGTAATATAAAAGAAGTAACACTTTTTTAATTTATAAGTACAATTATTCAATTTAGTAATGGTCATGACGTGTATTAATAATCTCAAAGCAAAACATTAATAAATTTATGAAATAAGTTACAGACACATTAAAAAATTCAATAATATTAATAACCTAAAATGAGTTATACATTTTAAAATAAAAGAATTTTAGAAAATAATTGCATCTACTTTCATAATTCCGTATCAGAACTATACATTCGCAGCTGATCAGCCATATACCAAAATACTGGTATTGAAATTATAAATAACGTATCAAAATTTTAAATAATAAAACATATTAATTATATTTACTAATTAATTTAAAACAGTCATAACACTATTCCACACCATTAATCTTCAAATAAATATCAAGAGTATCTTTCAAAATGTTGACGAGTTTTATTAAAAAATATTTTAATTCGCTTACTTAAACAGCAATAATCGTAAGCAAATTACAAAAGTATAATACCTATTTCTTTTAAGTGATTCTTAAATATACAAATGAATTAAATATTTAAATAATATTTCCGATATAAGGAATGATTTATAATTTATTCAAGTAGTTTCATTAGATTTTGAAATCGTTAAATCAGCTGTTTTGAATCGTAACGTCCCTTGTTTATTAGAAAGTTAACTGTGGTTATGGAAGAGTTCTAAGCTTTTCAAGTTCTTTACTTTAACTATATGTAATATATAGTAAGGGAAAGTATTGCGATCGTAAAAATTTTCGAACCTGAGTTTTCAACGGAAATATACGTTTTGAGGTACCTGGGGTACAAATAACCAGGTCCCGCAAAATGGACTGTGCGTGTGTATGTTAACAGTCTAGCTCAAAAACGAAAAGTCGTACGAAACTTTAATGTATGTAATACTGAAATTGCATATTTAAGGTTTTTCTATGCTTGGTATGTTACAGCAACTTACTATTTTCTCGAAAACGGCTCGAACGATTTTGATTAAATTCATCATATCAGTGTAAAATTAAGCAGTTTTAAATAAAATGTAGATTTTAATCTGATTGATGTTCTCTAGCAGAGCATAAATTGTTAATTCTCAATATTAACTTCTCCTAAGGTACCTACAATTTTTTTTTTTATTTGAAACAATTGACCATTTCACATTAATCTATAATATAAAAGATACTGAAATATGAAAGAATTTGACTAAAGAAGATATTAGAGATCGTAACGGAGGATAGTTGTAATTCAGGAACCTAAGGAATACGAGTGCACCCGAGCTCGCCCGAAATATTAGAACACGATTCCATACGTAACATGAGCTTAATGTAATCAGGATTGCGACAATATTATGTAAGTAAACATATGCGGTTTTCATAAATGCTATTGTTGGTATTATTTAATATTTAATTGTAAAGATTAGAGCTATATAAATATTAAAATTTGTATATGTAAGGGTACTGATACAAATAAAAATACCCACAATGAAATATAATGCAATACAGCATTTATACTTTTTACTTTCACTTCTCCTTTGTCTGATAATATTTATTTCTGTTAAGAGGGTGATAAGTGAAAGTTGTTTGATGCGCGAGCTGCACAAGATTTTTTTGTATATTTTCAAAATTTAACTTATAATATTTGTCTCTAATCAGAGTTGATAAGATACTAAGATATTCAAACTGTTTTTTTTTTTTTATATAAATAAAATATTATACTGAAAGAATATACATTGTTTCTTACTTCACCAATTGAATTGAATTACATAAAAAAAAAAAAAAAAAGGAAATGGATAAGGACAGGAACAACGAATGGTAATGAATTGAGTTGATTATTATGTAAAGGTTTGCGAATGTTTTAAATAAACAATATTAATAATAGTTGAGCCAGAGAATTTCACTAGATAAAGAATAATTAATAATAATCAGTTACGGTAAATAATAATAAAGATAAATAATCGAAATAAATTAAGAGCAATACAAGTAGGGAGGAGAAGTTGGGGGAGGGGTAATACCATGATTTGTAGGAGACATTATTCACTGTTCTGGGCAACTCGGTCTCATAATGGCCAGGTCCGGCTGTATTGTTATAAAGCGGCTGTAACAATTATATGCTCTTTTGTTTAAATTATTACAGCTGTTTAATAGTTTTAAACTTTAAAACAAAGTAATAGCTGTCGTTATTGCAGTCTAAACGAAAATGCAACCAGTTTTATAATATAATTAACTTTCATGAAGTTTTTTAATACAATAAATTATGATAATGAAGATCGGATAAGATTTGGTTTAAGTAGTGGTGTGACTTAATCAAGTATTCAGTTAAAAAAATTAAGCAGAGTGAATTATAAAAAAAATCACATAAAACATTTTAAAATATCATTATCACCAGAAGGGAAAGAAACACGCAAATGCGAGAAAACTAGTCGGAATAAAATAAAAGGTACTAAACATCTTGAAAAAATATTTCCTTGATTTTTCTCAGTTAAAGAAAACCTACAAATGAAGAAAACATGGACCACAAAAACACAAACTTGACCCACAAAAGCTTGAAAAGCCACATAGGTGTGGTAATATGTATCGACAGGCGAAAGAAGGAAAACCCAACGATGGATAACCTTTTGTCAAAGTTGTTTAAAGATGAGGGAGAAATATTAGGGGCTTGGAACAAACATGATTGGAATTTGTCCAATCCTAAATAAGAGCTCCATGTATGACTTTTGTAATTAAAAGAGCACACCATTCCATCCGGTTTCCTTTAAGATAAGGACCAATATAGTGCTAAACTGTATTTGTCCATATTATGATATGTAATGACGGCCACCAATTTACGAGAGGAATGGTTGAAAAATGATGGGAACTAGCTCAGGATGCGCATGCCTTGATTCCAAAGCAGTCTATGATTTCGTGGATAGAAACTGTCTTTGGAACATCATATGTGAGCTAGAAGGGGTGGGCGGGGTGACCGAACGGGCTAACGTGTGTGCACAGCATCGGCAACCTGATATATGAGACAAAGTTATAAAAAAAAAATAGTCACTAGTTCTCGTCCTTGTGACCGGGGGAGTCTTTTAAAATCCGCGCCCACACCCTTGGTCCGGGAAAACCCTATATAGCCTTAAAGGCGAGGTGGGGAGGACACACACACACACACACACACACACCACACACACACACACAAAGCTACAT